GTTTGCATCGTTTGCTTGACCAGCAGTTCCAAGCTCAAGAGGGGCTTTTGAGGGAGTCTGCGTGCTTACAGCGAGAACTTCACAATTCAAATAGTCTGCAACTAAGTCCATACGTGATATGCAAGGAATCGAAGCCGACCAAGGCTTTTCTTCCATGCAGGCACGTGTGTGTTTGTAGTTCTTGCTTTCAACAGTTTCAAGCAAAGAGCACCGGCGGAAGAGCATTGTGTTGCCCTACCTGTCGCCAAGATGTGCAATTTGCTTTTGACGTCTTTCTTTGAACTTGTTCAAGAGGTTGTCCAGTGTGACGTGTCAAATTGTACATACGGACTTGATGCGAGGAAACTGCGAGAATAAAGCGTGTGACTTGAAACATTCAAACGCGGACATATTTCATAGGCCCCTCTGTCCTCCGGGCTTATCACCTGATTATATGATATATATCATGTATCGCCGGCCCCAAAAGACAACATGTCTTTTTCCAGAGGACTCTAGACTCGTCCAGTGCGAGGATCCGTATGACTTTGCTCATGCGAGTTGTTTTTTTCTGTCGCCAGGAGTTAAAAGGCCTCCAACGGATCTATGCGGCGCTTCATCCTCTACACTACAGCCGCTGTGAGGCTCCAGTTGCTATGTGCACCCTGAAGAAGCTATGAGCTTTAAATTAAACCCTTTAAGCCGGCCAGCTGAGTGAGAACTTCTCCTCTCCATCCTCACATGCTTCTTTCCTTTTAAGATGAAACTGCGCAGCATGTTAGCCACGAGTCTTTCTTTTTTTTGCTTTGCTTCTGCTTCTTCTTTTTCTTCTTCCTCGTACTCTTCCTGCTCTTGTTTGTCGTTCGAATGTATGTCCAAATACTGAGCCAGCATTTGATCCAAATCAGCCCCCACTGTACCCCTCAGATCGCGCCACTCGACGATCCAGCAGGTGTGGGACAAAGTGCATCCTTTTTCAGGTCAACTCTTTTGCATTCTTTGCTTTAGCTTGAAGGTGAGATCGCACATCCGGATGGCTTGTATTCTTGTATAGACTTGCTCTCCTGGCACACCTGATTCTATAGATGCTCTAGGCCAAGCTCCGAAGCTCCGACCTCTGAGGCGCCGGCTTTAAGGTCCAGCGTCGTTGGGCCAAGGAAGGGAACCGCACCGCTGCCGGGGGGCCCAAGACGGAGCAACTATCAGCGCCACGAGCTTGTTCACTCGGTGCCGTTTCAACCTACGGATAAAGATGGTTCGCTCTAACGCGTCTTCTGAGGAGTTTGCTCTCAAGAACTTGCGCTTCACCAAGATGGGTGAGCTTGTGGCTATGTGCTCGGCCGAGGCCAGCTGAGGTCCAGGGGCTTGACGAGTGAGATTTTGGCAGTTTTGATGATTCTCTAGAACCCGGTGAGCTGGACTTCCAGCTTTTGGTGGATTCATTTTTCAAAACAACACAATACTGTACTCGTAGAGGAAGAATGACTCCAAATGAACCTTCACTTTCCTCAACCTCGGAAAAGGGCGGCCTTCTCATTCTTCTTCTCCATGCTTGGACCTACTGTGTGGTACATTTAACCGTGGTTCCTCACGGTTGCTCCGTTCACCAGGTCCGCAGCTTTGAAGCGGCCCCTCGAGTGGATCTGGAGGGCCTGGTGACGTACTTCATCGGCATGGGCATGGAGAAAGCCGAGGCGACCGATGTGTTGGAGAGAACGTTGGAGAGGCGGCGGAGAGAATGTAGCGAAAAGGCTTCGAATGGATCTGTTTACCAGTGTTTACAGGTTTACACAGATTTCTTTTCTGAACTGTTCCAACTGGTATGACGCTGCTCATTTTTGCCTCTTCCCTTTTATTCCTTTGTTGGGTTTGCTGCAAGTTTCGTCTAGTTGCGGCCACATTTGCAAGGGGTACAGCAATAGGTCCGGTGTTGACATGATTGTTCAAATTCACCACAGAAGAAACAACCCCAGTCTACTCTGTGTTGGTAATGCTCATGTCCCTTGGGGGGAACCACTGATGTTGACGATCAATTGAGCGCAGAACTCGGCGATAGCTTCAGGCACCCAAAAAACAAATTCAGCGTGGTGTCTTTGAACTGCAAAGCAGTGAGGGAGAACAGTCGAGCTCTCAGAATGAAAGAATTGACTGTGACGCGTTCGGAATTCGGCCACAAAACGGACAGAGGGTGCAAATTCGGTACCTGGCATTGGAACAAAAGGTGCACGATTCACGCAACTCTTGCAAGTGGCTCAGGGCTCATGAGTTACTACCGACGGTCTAAACAAGGTGTTAACAACAATTTTGTCGTTTTATATGACTCAATTCGCATGGGAAAACACAAGATGACTTTTGTGTAAGTTGGGTTGTTAAAATGTTGCCCCGCTGAATTGATATATATATATATATATCTATCTATATATATATATAACAGTACGTCAGGAACAAACCTCCAGAAGGCCTGATCCATATTCTGTTACTTTTTGAAAAGGCATTTTAAGATGATGAACAACCAATTTAGTTGAGGTTCAAAACACAACACCAAAATCATCAAGAATGTAAAGAACAAAATATCAGACATCATGAAGGCAGGAAGTTTTCCTCAAGTATTTTTCTTGGATCTTGGATGTCATTGGATATCCGACTTTTCTTATATATAATATAAACACATGATTATACAATATTACATATATATATATCTTTTGCCTCAGGAACCATTGCGTAAAGGGTTAGGAACAAACATTGATTGAGTCCGGGCATCAAGCAACAAATGTCTGTCAGGACTTAACATGACCGCAATTTTTGAACTCAGGTTTTTTTTGAGTTGTTGCAATGCCTTTTTGGGGCATGTTCCAGAAACATGTCTTTTTGCACTGGCTTTTGGCCTCAGGACATCGCAAAGAACAATCAGAGGGCGAGAAGATCTCAAGCACATGATAAACATATCAGAAACACACAGAGCATTCTGAGAGTAACACTGGGTGCTAGTGCAGACTCTTTTGAAAGACTTGGTACCACTACCCCCAAAGAAGGGTGAACAAACATTGAAGCTTGGTGCCATGATGTGCAATGCAACAAATGCTATATCAAGACTTCTGGATGTGGTGGGTGGTGATTTCGTTATAAGAGGGGCTCTTTACGATACAACATTTTAAGTTTTGAGTGGTCTGTGCATTGCAATTTTCAGGTAGTTTTTTCCTTAAGGTCCGTTCGCTTTTCGGTGTGGCTACAGTGCACATCATGGCCCCATTATCGTGTCATGTTAAAGACATTTCTAAAAAAAAAAAAACGAGTCTACTTAAATGACTGAGTTCTCAACTGTTTGTGTTCAACAAGCAACTTGTCTAGGAGTGCGTTGGCATTTCTAGTGCTTCTGAGCTTGCGCGTCACCTGCCACATATGCGTGAGGATTGCCTAGCGCGTACACTATCTATTTGAGAGTGGCCTTTTGCGCGCATTGGGATTCGCGCGTACATGGCTGGCTGGCTGGTTCAGTGGTTCCTTTCGACCCGTTCAGTGGTTCCATGGACAGTCGGAGTCGGGCTGCTCGTTGGACGCGAGTTCTTGGGTGGCCAATCTCCACGCGCAACCGATCAGGTGACAGCTGGGAATTGGCACCAGATTGGGAGAAGTTTGAGATGTCATATTGAACATCTATTTCGTTTATACAACCGGGTCCTATGAATGACACATCAAAAAGCGAATCGAATGTGCCAAAGCCTCACGCGAAGAATCACAAACATGTCAAGCAAGTTTGCAATCACCCAAAACATTTCAACAATCGGTCGATAGAGTCTAAGGCCGGCTGCTTCAAAGAATGAACTTGTAACAAAAAGTCCAAGAATAATTTCTCCTGATAGAGGCAGCAAACTTCCTGAATCAGTTGCATACCGATTCGATGACAATGCCACAGTCGGACTCTTGATCAGAAACAGTTAGAACATGTCCTGGCCTCTCCCTCCCAAAAAGACATCCCTCCATCGTCAAGATTGAACATGCTAAATGGCAGACCTTTTTGTAAAAAATGGCTACAATAGCGGTGCGTGACCCAAGGTTTTTCCAACTTTCTTTGACATTTTTGACTAGTAAGACGTCTGACCTTGCACGACCCATTTTGTACATTGACCTTGGTAGCAAGGAGGATGACTAGACCCGCTTTTGAATAGAAAACTTCTACACAGCCTCAAACGTACCACGTCAAGAGTGGACATGATGCGTTTGAGGTGGGGCATAGTTGTCTTCCTTCAAGAGTAATCTAGGGCATGTGGAGCCTTTGGGTTTCTTCCAACAGAGCCTTCACTGGCAAGTTTGTTTCACAGCTTAGTTCTGTTCCCAACAGGCCTCTCATATCCACGGCATAGGATTTGCACAATATCGTGCCTGCTTTGAACCTGATAGCCCGCGTCTACGCAGGTGTTTAAATTTTGGTCTTGTTTGGATTTCGTCGAGCCAAAGTGTTTTTCACCCGAGGCTTGCCAGAAGAGGCGGTCCAGCAAATGGAGGTTGCCACCTCAGGCTCTCACTGAGGCAAGTCGGCGCAGAATGTCTATCAAAGACATGTTGCTTGAGTAGCACCCAATATGACAGTCTGATATTTTTCAGCATGGCATTGGGGATCTAACCGAGGGCCGAATCCGGCGACAGGCCATGCTCGCGACCCAGCAGATGACTTTCAATGCATGTTGCACGGATTGCCTAGACTCATCCAGCGCTATCAGGTTGGAGGCCGTTGCTTCTAGGTTCTTCTTTATTAAGTTTTCTTGCTTCTAGGTAGTGTACCAAACAACTAATTATGGACTAATGAGTGACTGCACTCCAGCTTCATCCATCTTCCACAAAGCTGCCGCCACCGTGGCGCATCACTGTGAAGCTCAACATCAAGCAACATCAAAGACCAAACACTTGGCCATGGTACAGCAGGTGGCTTTGGTAGTGCTGCTTAGTAAAAGACATGTAACATGTATATATATATATATGACTCAGAACTATATACACATATAATAACATGCGCACCATGCATATTTCAAACTTTGATGGGTAAATAGTACCAGGATTTTCACCCTTTGGGGTGGGTGGGTGAAGATCAAATAGCCACATTGATCTTCCAGGCACGATAAGGGGGCAAACAACAGCAGTTGACAACCTCCTCAAAGGAATCACTGAAGGAGTTTGAAGAGAACAACATTTCCTCGAAGGAGTTTGAAGAGAAGCCATGCGCAGCTGATGCTCGGCAAGTCAAGAGCCAGAAGGCGAGTTGTTGTGACCACTGCAACCTGCAAAACTCGAGCATTGAGTAGCAGTAGCACATTATGGCAAGTTGCCAATTTGAGTGCTATGACTTGACAATCCTTTTCCATGCTCCAAATTGAGGGCTACCTCAATTTGGGGTCCATTGGTCGTGACCGACGAAATACTTAGGCGTTGGTGTCTGAGATCTGCGATCCAGATCAGCTTGCTTTTCGCCGGAGCAACTGCCAGTGGCCGCAGCTTCCTTACTTCACCATCTTCACAGGGAAGGGCTGCAAGATGCCAGCGACGTGCTTTTGACGTGGCCACTGGAGCTGCGGTAGGCGGGTTTGGCTGAGAGATGGCCGGCTAGGACATGCTAGGAATAAGAAGCGGAAGGGAGGAAGAGCGGCTGAATTTTTGGCTTTGGGCAGGTACAACCTTTGCCCTGTTCTATGATTGGTCGTTGCGCCGGAAGTGGGAGCAACCCTATCTAGAGATGCGTGTCATCGATGCTGTGATCAACAACCAGGCGGAGCTGAAAGAGCGCGTGGCCAACCTGACCGCCGTGACAGCCGCTGAGGTCGATGTCAACTCTGCATCAGAGGGCTGGACTCGGATCTACGAGAAGGATGAAGCACCGGAGAAGCTTCGGTGGATCTACCAAAGCGAGGCGTTGCGCATTGCTTCCAGCAGCGAGGCTAGGGGGTCAGTCTAGCTGAGGTACTCTTGGGAGTTGGGAATTGTGGGATCGGATTGAGATTTGCAATGCTGCTATGCCTTTTCCAGGATCTACAAGATCTCGTCATTGATGGTCGGCCATGGCCAGAAGGCCTTTCTGGCCTCATTTCAAGGTGAGAGTGCTGGGTTCCTCCTGACAACTCAGCAACTTTGCTGCCATCAGCACCACGCTTGTCTCAAAGTACAGTAAATGGATACTTTCAAGTGGCCCTGGTAGTCGGACAGGCAGATGAAAGCTGAGTGCCTCATCCTAAGATAAACCAAGAGCGATGGCCTCCAACCTACCTCCAACCGAAGAGCGATGGCCTTCAACCTAGAAGCGATGGCCATCAAGAATGCCATTTGTTGGTTGTTTGGCTCACTTGTCGCTCCCCACCAGCTTGCCGGTCGGCGGTGCGTTTGGCCCCATGGCGGTGTGTTTGGGACACCTGGTGATCCTCGTGCTGGTGCTGCCTGGTTGGGGTGCCCAGGCTCCTGGGAGCGACCTGCCGGATCAGCTGGATCGGAGGCAGGGACATGACAGTGGGAAGCACCAGCTATGTTCTCTCAAAACATGTGAGAAATGGAAGGCTCAGCAGCCGAACTGGTCGAACTTGTTGATTTGCTTCAGATTGCTGACCTCAAGTTTCAAGAAAAACTGCTGATGTGCATGAACCTCAATCTCTACCTCAGGTACGTTCCAGCCGAAGTCCTAGCAAAGCCAGGGTCTCTGGGGCCAGTCACGGGCTTTGCTTGGAAGTCACCCAACGGTTCAGAGCTCAATATCACCGCTGGTGAAAGCCTGGTGAGCTTGACCTTCGTGTCCCCTGGCACACTTCGCATTCGATTGGCTCCAAGTGGAGAGATCTCGGATCCAACCAATGGTGAAATTGTGACACTCTCCGCAGAAAGCACCAGCGCCAAGTTTGTGGAGACTTCCGGGGGCTTCGAGTTCTCCTCCGGCGAGGTCATCGTCCGTGGATCCCGGAAGCCGTTGATGTTGTCGCTCTACCGGGCTGGTTCCCTCGTGTGGAAAGAGCTTCGGCCAATGTCCTGGAGCACCAAACGCACTTGGCAGACTCTAAGCTCGGTAGAATCAGAGCTTCTTGGCTGAAAAGTGGCTGGAACAGAATCGCCTCAACAAATCTCGAAGTTTTGGGACACTCCCAGCCACGGTGGCGTTCCGAATCACATCTCTTTCTTGGCTCTTTGTGTTTGACCATGTTGTTCGAGTGCTTAAAGTGCCAAAGTTGTCCCCGAGGTCTTTCTATGGATGTGGTATGCAAAATGGGTTCTACGATCACACGGGCCGGTTTGTTCTGATCCATGAAGGAGGTGGCTGGGATGCTGGCGGCCGTGCCAACCCAGCACCTTTCTTTATGTCATCCAGAGGCTATGGAGCATTGAGGAACACCTACAAACCTGGAGCCTATAACTTTTCCAAGCAAGTGATGCTTGCACATGACGAAGCGGGGCTTGACAGCTTCTACTTCATTGGGAATTCAATGAAAGATGTTTTGAATCTCTATACGAGAGTAGCTGGGAGGCCAATGCTGCCACCCATTTGGGGACTCTTTTTAGGAGATTCCGACTGCTACAACAATGCACGGCATAAGGGTACAACCTCCAGTGCCCTGCTCCTTGGCCTTTGGTTTTCGGTTGATTTGAAAAGCCATGAAAACAGGTTGGCGCATGGATCACGTGGTTGTACTTGAAACAGGAACTTGCTTGAGAGATATGATGCAGTGAGACTAATTAGTGAGCTACCACCGAATCGCTAACAACAATCAGCATGTCCACTGAGGTTAGTGGCCAAGAACTACTCCAAAAATGCGATGCCGCGCGGGTGGAGCGACAGACCACATTTGCAAGCCTTTTTATTTTTGTTTTTCACCCTGGGAATCCTTTTCATCAGGCCGGCACTTCAACCTTCTGGGGGGAGGAATAAGCCCAAAGCAAGTCACATCCTGTCCGTACTTGTCTGAAAAAACCTGGGATGCTTCTTGAATGCAGATTGCTAGAACCTTGCCAGCATTGAGGTGGATGCTGGTCAATGATGGCTATGGCTGTGGCTACACTTCTCGCAATATGCTCCAGGCCGGCCGAAGTGGATCTCATGTCATGTCCAGGTTTAATGGAAAGCAGAGCTTGGATTTGGAGCCTACAGTGGATGAGCAGTTCCCCCAACATTCAACTTCCTAGCACTGCATGGCACGAAGAAGTGTCCTTGTGGTTATTAGCTGTCAGGAACAAGAGTTTCCAGCATTCCATGATATTTCATTAGGTTGGAGGCCATCGCTACCAGGGTGGAGGCCATCGCTATCAGCTAAGTTTCCCTAAAAATCTAGGAACCAACTGAATAGTGCGAGCGCTTCCTTCCTTGAAGAAGCGTGAGCTATCCTGCGTCCAGTTACTAGCAGCTACCTAGCTACTACTAGCTACCTACCTTGCTACCTACCTTTACCTCTCGCGGCCTACCCCTCCTTAAAAAACATTCCATGATATTCCGATCTCAATGGATCGGAATCCAGAGCAGCCACGCTTCTTCCCTTGGACGCCTCCCCGCCTCAGGCCACACAACGCGGCCTGGGCGACGTTGGGATCCGCATCTGGGAGCTGAAACGGTCGAGTGAGAGAGTGCGTTTGATGGGTGAAAGAGTGTGTGGCAGCTTTGTGCATCTCAAGAGGTCCAGAAACATTGGAAGAGAGGTACCTCTCAGATCGCGTCGATGGGGTCCAACATTGGAAGTTCGCCATCGTTTGATGTCCAGGTTTCCATGTCTTGACTGAATAATGACACGAGACATGCCACAAATGCTACAAGCCCCTGGTTGGTGGAGAAAAACCAAACAGTCCAGCTTGGGGCAGTAGCGCATGTTGCAGATAGTCAGTTTCTGCGCAGGAGGCCGGATCGTTTTTTTTCGATGTCCAGTCCAAATGTGTGATTTCTGGAGCTATGAATGATTCTACTGCTCGTACGAACCCAGACAACAGATTTACATGACATGCATGTTCTTCCAACCTCTTAGACACCAAACAAGAGACGAGGGTTATGACGGTTGTGACCCCAAGACCTTTGAGCCTCAAATAGATTGAAGCGGTGGAGACCTTCACCAAAAAGCTACTAGCGACAAATGGCATCGCTACTAGTAACGAGGATGCTACTAGGGGCTCCTGGCCTCACTACTAGTAACAAGAAGCTACTAGTAACAAAGGGCATCGCTACTAGGAGCAAGAAGCTACGAGGGATTTGCCTGAATGACCGGTCTTTGCCGCTCCGACCAACGGCTGCCTCCTTCGATCGAGGCATGGGGCTCTGGACCTCCACGGGCTTGGCGAATGCCACGTGGGAGATCGGCCATGCCAACTCTCGGGCGGGGGGCTTTCCGGCGTCTTGGGAGATCGGCTGGGGAGTGAGATCTTGAGACTTGAAAGGAAGATGTTTTGGAGACATCAAACCTTTGGAAGCTCCCGAACTGAAAGGAGGATCCGAGATCGTTGGATACCTTGAAGTAACTCATCAAAGCACATTCTTCTGATGAGGGAGAAAGGTGTGAGCAGGGCAGAACGATTTCTTGGTGAGCTGGGTTGTACTGGTGCCCAGGCTTTTCCTCCGATCTGCTTGCAGGTCATCAAGACGGATGTGGCTTGGGTGGGCCACGGCTACCGCTTTGGCCTGGAAGCTGTCAAGCCTCCAATCCTTTGCAACAGTTTTTTGAGTGACTTTTGTCTTGACGGCGCCATATGTTGGCCTTAGAGGGGGGCCAAAGGCAAAACGCTTGAACAGACTTTCCAAACCAAGATTCATCAGCTGAATCCCTGCTGCAGTGGCCATTGTGGAATACAGGCTAGCTGTATGTGTACGAGTTTACCTTTGGCTTTGTCACCGTTGGCAAACATGAATTCCCCAAACAGCGCTCGATTTCTCCACAGATTCCCACCAAGCATGATGATACTTTCTCCAGCAAAGACGAAAACAGGCTCGACAGCACAACGATCAAATCATGTCTTCGTTGCTGAGGCTGGCTGCGCGTTTGATGATGAACAGCAGCAATTCTAGGCCATACACCTGGACTGTTTGTGGTTGGGCCGGGACGCAGAAGCACCTTGGGCTGAAAACTGGACATGAAGGCAACACTGGTCAGGCTGCTCCCTTATAGATAGGGATGCTTTTCTTTTCTGCATGTTGCTGTTTTGCTTGCGCTTGCTGTTTTGGATGTCAAGTGGGCTGTGATCTGCAGCATGAGAAACGACCGCTTCTGCCGCTTCTGCTGGTCGAAGACACTCTTTTGGGTCGTTTACTAAGATGGTGAAGCCAGCCATCCTCCCAAGACCTTGTATATTCTTTTTGGGCCTGTCACTGTCACTGGTAAATTTCAGCTTCCTGAGGTATGCTGTCATTTGGACTGGCGACAATACTGGGAGCTGGGAATACATTCGCATGCAGATTCCTACAATCATTGGAAGTGGTCTTTCTGGATTTGCTCATGCCACTGGAGATGTCGATGGCAGCCTTGTTCAAGCAAGCTGATCGTTGGAGAATGTTGGGAATTGCACGGTGGGGGCTATATACATAATATATATATATATATTATATAAAGGGTTTTCCCAATGCAAGCTCTTTGTCCATCTCAGAAGACTGTTGCTTCGGTCATGTCTAGCTTTTGCGCGCCAGGCTCACTGAAGCTTCCTTGATGAGGTTCTGTATTTTGAGCTTTGGGTCCTGAGTTTATGGTTGTTGTTTGATTGCTTCATCGAGTAGAGAGAAAGAAATATCCAAGGAAAGACAGATAGAAAGAATGAGAGAAAGAACGAGAAAAAAGAGAAAGATAAAGGTGGGAGAGAAGAACGGCGGAGAGAGAGAGAGAGAGAGAGAGAAAGAGAGAGAGAGAGAGAGAGAGAAGGAGAGAGAGAATGAGAGAGAGAGAGAGACACACACACAGAGACAGAGAACGAGAAAGAGAAAGACAAAGATAGATAAAAGGGGAGAAGACTCCTGAGAAGACATAGAACGGAGAAAGGCGGCAGAAAGATGGAGAGAGGGAGAGACAGGAGAGCGAGGAGAGATGAAAAGATAATCAGACAAAGAGACAAGGAGGCTGAAAGTGACCTTATATTATACTGACCTGACTGTGCTGGGCTCTACCTTTCTGACTTACAACCTGAGACATGTTCTGGAACTAGAAGCAATGCCAATTTCCAAAAGAAAGGTATCTACGGTGGATCGCCTGAGACCTACGTGAGAGATTTGCAATGGAAGACCTTTCTGACTGCCGCTATGACCATGAGTGGGTGGTCCAAGTATGACAAGCAACCTTGGGTCTTCGGTGAGCCCTATACGACCTACAACCGGAAGTGGCTTCAGCTGAAGGCCCGATGCCTCGTTTGAAAACAGTTTGAGTAATTACCTGTGAGGCCATTAAGAAGATACTCATTTGACCTAATGGGGGGACAGACGCTTTATTCTTCTTAGAGACCAGCCCGCATGTACTTTGAATATCCTTGAATCTGTTCACATCCATCGGACGACTTGCACTGCATCCCACGATGTCCCGTACCGAAAGGCTTCGTTGACGCCGTACCTCTACTCTCTGGCCTTTCATGCCTATCTGACTGGAGAGCCACCTGCTCGTGCCATGGAGTTGGAGTTCCCTCACGAGCAGTGGTCAGACACTTCGGCCCGGCAATACCAATTCATGTGGAGGCCCAAGTTGAAACAGATGCGCATGTACAGTAGGATTTGCCTCCAGCCCGTGGACGGGCTCTCCAGCTCTTGGCCGCAGACACGGCTGTAGGTGATGCTCTAAACTTGGAGTTACAGTTCGGAAACTGTCGCGCAAATGCGCTCTGCAGAGAAAGCAGCAGGTTGGTTTGTGATGAAACGCCATAGCCATAGACCATTAACCGGCATTAACATTTCTGACAACCTACCACCATTGCAAATGCCAGCCAGCAGCCAACCAGCAGCGCGCCCAAGGTCAGGCCCATTCTTTTTGGTTGCGCCCGTCTTCCGCAATGAGACGAAGCGGTCGGTCCCAATCCTTCTGCCCAGCGGTGAATGGATTGACTACAGCGATGGCATCACGCGATACCAGGGCCCTGCCACGCTGAACGCGTATAACTGCCCACTTGATCAGCTTCCAGTCTTCGTGCAAGCTGGAGCCATCGTTCCTATGTGGCCATCACTAAACTTTGTGGGTGAGAAACCGGTCAATGAACTGTCCTAACCTCAGTTGCTGTTTCTCTTGAGAAGCCTTGCTGCCTGACCTTTAAGCATCAAGTGGGTTCACAAATCAAGTCCTGTGTTTTCTCAAACCTGAAAACTATGAGAAGCGGATGAGAAAACAACTTTTTGTTTACCCTCACTCAGCGCACCAGGGCAAGTCTATGCTGGCTTTCTATGCTTTTCTTTTGGGAGGGTAGCAATATAGAGGGAAGCGGCACGGCAATAGAGTTGAGATTCACACCACACTAGGCCACTGCGTCAGGCAAGAGTTCAGAATTGGTTTCCCCACTGAGTGCACAACATTAGAGACTCCTGAACTGAACCTTACCATGCAATAAGCCCTTGTATGACCACGGTGAGGCCCTAACAGGGTGTGAATGCCCAGCGCTTTGTGCAAAGTAGAAGGCATACCGCCATATATGAAGTTGTCGCCTCTGGGCTGGGCAGCATACCAGCATGTTGAAGCGCTTTGCAAGGACTTTGGATCTGTTTCCTCCTACCTCTGCTGGTGTCTCTAACTTCACTTTGTACGAAGACGATGGCTGCCGCCTCAGCATTGCTCAGTCATTCGTCAGACACAAGAATCATCAAGAATCAACAAGGCTAATTCAGGTCCCATACACTACACAGGCTGCCTCTGCAATTCTGAGGCCTGACCCGGAACTACAGAAGCTCGGCAAACGGCGGTTGTTTTTGGAGGTGGCCAGTCTTCGGCAGCCAAGATACATTTACTTTTATATATATATAAGTATATATTAGCCATTAGGAACAAAGGGTATCGCTACTAGTAGCAAGGATGCTACTAGTAGCTCCTGGCATCGCTACTAGCAACAAGAAGCTACTATATCGTAACATATAGATGGATTGGCTGCGTTGGTATCTCTACCTGGTGGGGAGAAGGAGCCCAGGCTGTCCATCTTCGGCGGGGAGCTGGGGAGTTCCCCAAGAGTTCCCTAACCATTTGCTGTGTAGCGCAGTGTAGAGGTCTGGTTTGGGTCTGCCAGGGTCAATGTACTGGCATGTGTGCCTGCAGGGCAATATAGAGACACTCCTTTGCAGAGAAATGGTTGGAGGTAGCCTGTAGCTAGACTCGACTCTGCTAGACTATACTAGGCTCTTTCTTTTCACCATCGTCTTTTCTATTCCACAGGCGTGGTTTCTGTTTTTGGCACTCTTAATTCAGGCTTCGGCGCTGTGGCCACTCAGATCTTTGAGATGCGAAGGGCTGCCTGGCGAGCTGGGGGGGGGGGTGTTTGGGGACCGGAAATCCGAGTCTTCCGATGCAGATGGAGTGACCAGTTACCAAGTGGACCAAGCCCAAGAGCCATTTGAACGCAACATCCATGCAACGAAAGTCGAGACGACGGCGTTGGGGAAGACTGGGTTATTCTTACCCTAGGCCAGGAGATGCCGGGACAGAGCTTCCAAGGCCAGCAATGGTAGCCTTGAAGTGTGCATTGGCCCCAGCATTGGAGCCTATGCGGGAAAAATCTCCTCACGATCTTACCGCTTGCAGGCAGGCAGAGTGTCTACAGGGTCAGTTTGAGCATTCTGCTGCACGGATTCACAGTTCTGTAACACAAATCTCACAAGTCTAAGTTATGTTCGATGCAGGTGGTCCAGAGGGCCCCTTCACGTGCAGCGCAACAGGTTCACTTGCCGCGACTCGGAGCCAACGCTGTCAAGATGGATGGAAGACATCTCCCCAGTGAGGAGCTCTGTGGCGAGCAGGGTTCTTCTCCTGGTGCATGGTGCAGTCAGCGGAGAACCTCAGCTTGCGATCTCAGCCGCCTTCAGATCCCACAAGCAGAGAGAAAAGTAGAGATAGACTGGGATAGACTGTACAGAAAACTGAATTTTGGAAGAACACTGTTTGATGGTGCAAAGGAAGTGCTTTTTGTAGTTTTGTTTTATCACATGAGCGAATTTCTGCCAACTTCACCCATTCGAGGCGGTGTGCTGGTGAGAACGCCACCCCTGCAAGAGACGGCGAATTCCTGTTTGTCCATTGAACTTGGCAATGCGGACCTTCATGTATAGCAGCAAGCTTGGATCTGCAGACAGCCACAAAGTGGGCCAGTCTCGCAGAGCAAGTGGTTGAAGAGAACATCCAGAAGTGATGAGTTTAATAAACATGACTCAACAGTCGCTTACTGTCGCAATTAGGATTATAGATAACACGTTCCCCTTGCAATGCTAATATGCGAGCTGCCATTGAAAAAGAGAGGAGCCTCTCTCATCACCGGCAACGAAAGAGCCCAAGTTAGCTCCTTGTGTTCAAGTAGGGGAGTGTGGACGGCCCAAGCTTGGCTGGCGGTCGAACCGTTGCTGTTCTGCCTTCCCTTCTCACTGGCAAGGATCGTCGAAGGTTTGGCACAGAGAACATGTCAAAGTTCTCCAGTCATTCTCTTCCGAATTCCGAATGGAAACCTTTCTACACGATTCAAAGACCATATCACCCTTTTTCTTTTCCCTGCCAAGCATCTTTGACCAACGACTTGCCGGTCGACTCGTCAAAACCATGGTACTGTAAATCCCAGTATTTGGTTTGTCCTAGTCACTGTATTGTCCACACCTCGTCTCGCTTTGGTCTTCCGCAGGCGCTGGCCGGAGAGTGGCGGCGTCGTTTGCGATGTGGGAGCACGTATGGCCTGGGAGCATGAGATCCGTGCGGCGGAGGCAGAGACATGCGGGTCGTTGGAGGCATATGGGATCATATGGGTTTGCCCGAACGAAAGGACCTGCGAACCAACGGGGCAAGCTATGTTCATACTGGATACCAAACAAACTGCTTTGGACAATCATGATTATCATGTGACACTGCCGAACATGTTCAACCAAGGATACTGACATGATTTTGCCAACTACCTACCATTTGATTTCAATCTGTTTTTCCACCTGTAAGTTTGGCACATCGCTGCTCAGCACGTGGGACTGAGAAGCGCCCATGCTTGGCCACGCTTGTGACTGCAAGTAACTATGCAACCGCTCAATGACCTAGAATGTAGATCTGAAACTGTACAATCCGAGGTCTATGGCAGGGCTGTGTGACAGGATTCTGTTCGAATGGGGACCTCATGCCTCATGATCTTGCAGGGATTCCCCTTCTTTCGTCAACCCATCAAAATAGGAGTTGTCACATGTTTGTTACTCATTTCAGACCACGTGAAGCTTCCCTCAAGGCCAAGAGCAGACCAAGTTCGAGTAGCTGGACTTCCGGCTCAAGTAGCTCGTGGTCCTTTGAATTCCGCTCTTACACCAATCAGGAGGCCTGTTGAGTTGGGTGTGGATGTAATCATTGAAAGACCCACAGCCAGTTGAAGTGGATTGATTCAATTTTATTTCACTTCTATGCCACAAAAGGCCACAAAAGGCCACAAAAGGCCTTGGAATCAGAGTGATGGTGCTTCTTGGGCCGACTGCAGAGATCTTCGCCTTGCAGGAATTGAATGCCATGCTGGGAGCTGAGCCAGGCAAGCGAAGTTCAGCAGTCATGGAACACAAAGACAAGCGCATGGTGCAGGAGGCACAAGGTAAACACTCCGACGGACAGAGCCCCCCTCAGTTATATAGAAATGGATGGCCTAGCCCTGTGAAGACCGCTGTTCCGAATACTTATCAGGGGGTGTTCCAGTTCCATGCTGGTGAGTCGGAGTGTAAAAAGTATCATCTGATGTGTGTCACTCGCCTAGCTAGCCACTCCTTCATTGCAGTGGCGAGACTGATTGAGGTTGCCTTCAGGCATTGCTTTTGCGCCCAGCCAATCGAACGTCCCTGCAGGCAGAGAAACCCTTGGATTGGAGCAAGATAAGAATCGAGATTCGTGAGGATTCGTTGTCAGGATTTACCACTTATCTTGATTTGATTCTGCAAGGTGAATGGTGACAACGCTCAGTTGGAGGACTGGATAGCCAGGAGGGCAACTTAGGCTAGCGGCTAGTCAGACTTGTTGTCCACTCGGGACCCCTTATATAACCCAAGCTATGCTCTCAAGAAGCACATTCCATTGTCCGTTCTAAGGGCACTTTCACCCTTTACATACCTTTCTCTCCACTCTACCGAGTGATACTGTATATAGCAAATCTGTTTGTCGTTTGCTCTTCAAGTTTGCTTTTGACATTTTTTTGAGTCATTTTGATGCAAGGATTGCTCCTTGTAATTTAGAGAGCTCTCCATCCGAAAGGATCGAAAGGGCTCACCATCCGAAAGTGAGGACAACTTCTTGCTGCTCGCCGGCTTACTTCAGCTGAAGATCCGTTGGCGAGGGACATCCGTCTCTCCGTCGGGTGGGAAGTTCCCTCTACTTCGCTGGGACAGCTCCGAGGCGCTTTGAGCCGAGATCGACTGGACTTGAGCTCCGAGTCTCTTTGGACGGTGCTTTTGAGGAAGCTGGTGAGTATTACTGGATCCCATCGTTGTATTACTGTCCATGTCAGATAATTGTCAAAAGACTTGCAGTACAATTGACCGCATGGATCTTCCAAGAGATTAATTTTGCATATTGCACGGTCTCCCTTATGGTAAGCACCCGTCCTATCCTCTGTTCTCCTTAGCGGCGAAAAGACTGCTGATCTGGATGTGCTCCTTGACCAGTATTGTCGACCGTGAAGCAGGGTTGGCAGTTGATGCAAGAGAAGGCATCCAATGCACCTGGGTCATAGCCAGAGAGTATCTACCCGAAGATGCTTGATCCAACTGATCCAACTGACCTCGATTTCGGTCAGGCCATTTTGAGTAGTAGCCTTTTCCCGTGGCAACGCACCTTTGATCGCCCTGAAGCGGCTGAGCGCCTTCGCAGCGTGTCCGCACTTGGGGGCGGGCGGACGAGTGGCGGATCCGTGCTTGCAAGCTGTCCCAGATCTATGGGCTTAGGCATGCAAGTCTTAAGTGATGGAGTGTAATGGTTATTCCGAATATTCCAAGACCTTGAGAGAGGAGAAGCTGAGGGTGTCATTGCAGGGGATAAGGCGGGATGTCTGTCATTCATTTGGGCAACAGGGCAACTGGTGTGTTTGAATGGCTTCAAATAAGAACAGTAGTTTCGTGGAGTAATGTGGAGTATAGTAAAGTTGTAAGGAAGCGCGCGCTAATTTTTGTCTTGAAGTTTCTCTGCTTTTATGATTTTTATGTTGCGTTGGCGTTCTGTTCAGAGAAGGTTGGATTGCGTACTACTGGTACCTTTAAACAGATTCCTTTTGAAGGCAACTGATGATACTGATGAATTGAATTTCCTGGATGCTCAGAAATCTCTTGCCAAAAATCACTGAAAACAGGGATTGACAGCTCGGGCACGTTCAAGGCAAAGACCCCTGGCAGCTGGTCGTCCTGGCCTCGAAAACAATGCCATTGTCCACCCATTTTCATACGGAAATCTTTCCAGTCGTGAAACGCCATTCGAGGTTTTGGTTGAAAACTCAATCTCTTGAGCATTCGTGCAGCCGAATGCTCATCCTTCCGAAGGCCATGGTAGAGGTGGAGGTGGATGGACAACGGCTCCTCGGCTCTTCTACTAAAACATGCCACCTCGGCTCTGTCCACAAATTCTACGAAGCCAAACGTTCCTGATAGTGCTGATGCGAAAAAGGAATGCATGAGTTTCTGAAGCAACTTTTGAGAGGCGACTTGTGGCTGTCGTGAACCGCATGGGAGCCGGGCGACTGGTCTTCAGTGAAGACAGCTAGATGAGATGGTCTTTTGATCATGAAAGCGTGACCTCCAGCAAGGAAGAAGTCTCAAAAACAGGGAGCTCCATTGAATTGTTCAGTAGGAAGTAGGTGAAATCCCAGTTCTCACCAGTGGCTGTTTTTGTTTTTGTCCCATTGAGACAAATTCATATGCATTTTCTTCAGTCTTTTTCAACACAATCCCCGGCCCAAAGAAGGCCCATCTCAAGACCTTTAGATCGAGAGAAAGCGTGGCATTGAGCTTGGAGAGTTCCACTGGGCTCCAGTTTCTCGAACTTCAGCCCTTTTGAAGGGACGATGTGATGTGCTTTTGAAGGCTTGAAGAACATGTCATGATGATGTACGAAAAAAACACATTATTTGCACTTTGATTCATTGAGCTTTCACCTTAACCCAGCCCTGATATTGGCTTGTGTGAGCCGCTGAGTTGCTTTCTCGTCTTTGCAGCAGTTGTGTGAATGAGGTTGTACCATGCAGACGTGGTGTGCATTCAGGTCCGGCTTGATGGTGAAATGGCGAACAGAGACACGCTGTATTGGAGCGTGTTTTCGTTTCTGCAAGAGTGGCCCCCCTCAGCTGAGGGCCTTGACCCGGAGAATGGGAAGGCGACTTGGCACCCAGAGGAGTGGGACCGAAGACCGGACTGAAGACCGATCCGACAAAGGCTCTGACAAAGGCTTCTCAGCGGGTCCCGGGTTTGGGTTAGGCCCTTGAGCTAGCAGCTAGCAGCTAGGTGCTAGCAGCTAGACTTCAATTTTTGGACTCCAAAAACATTCGCCGATACTTGTAGGTGACATCCCATTTGCCTTACCGGTGGCGACCGTTTTTCTGTCCGGTTTTCTTGATCCGTACCAAGCTCGAGGTCGGGGAGGGCGTCACCATGCAACTCACCTGTGACAACTACAGATGGAAACATTTCAAGGGGCCAAACGACGAGGCCGAGCTGTGCACGATGGCCGTGGATCATGTGGTGATTTGTGGTATAGGAAACAAGAAGACATACGGTCAATCCACTGCCTATCTGCGAGTGATTTGCAGCCTCAAATCTCGGATTCAACTGCGTGCAGAGCAGAATCAGCATTTGTACGCATTTGCGCAAAAGAGAAACGCCTCGTGATCTGATGAGATGTCAGGTGAGCATTGTCTTCTTTGACGAGCACCGCTTTAAGTGCCTTGGAAGAAATGAGGGATGAGGTGGAACGGCATGGCAGGATTCATGACCAAGCGAGCCGACGCACAGGTTCTATGTGTGTTTAGCTCTGCTTTTCTGACCCCAATCCTGAAAAAAACAAGAGTGTGGCTCAAGTAATAGAAACTAAAAGAAACACAGCTCAAGGACTCAAGGACATTCTCATGAATAGAACAAATAGATCACATCACAAGGGCTGCAGATTGAAGTACTTTGGTCCTATGCAGAGTGTGGCTTTGAGTTCCTGATGCCTTGAGTTCCTGATGCCACGCGCAACATGGAATTCGCGCTTGCTGGCTCAAGCTTCCAAGCTTCCCTTTTCGGCATTTTTCCACTATATATATATAATATGTCTAGAGCAGGGATCAAGATTCTAGAATTGATTTTTGCACTCTTCGAAATGGAGCCACCGCAAAGGATCAAGACATGATGCAAGATTGCTACTCAGTGGGTTGTTCAAAAGGTGACGGCAGCACTTGTTCCGATGCCCAAACATCCGAAGACCCACTTTTTGCAACCCTCCGAAGAAGAACAAAGAAGCACAGACTAGAGTGACTAGAGCAAAGAAGCACAGCCTAAGCACAGCAAACCAGCCGAGAATCGACTTACCGTTGCACGGCATTCCAATGGCGAACGCCAGACAGCGCCAAAAGATTCGGGAGGACAGTATTTGAACTTCCGATTGTGTTTGTTGCCGAGTCTGCAACATTGGAGTTTCTCCCTGTGCACCCAGGCAAATTGTTTTGTGCTGCCCACTGTGATACTCCCCACGTTTTGGGCGACTCTTTTCTTAAATTGTATGTTTTGTATCTTTTTCCCAATTTACTATAGATGATATATCCATATATCAAGAGGCATGCAACGGATAGGTATGTAACAGCACGTTAATTTTTGTATATTTTTGTATATCTATCGGCGGTATCTACAGTATGATGATTTATCATGATCTGTTCCGGTGGAATAATGCAGCTTCGGTGCATCGTCGGCTCAGAACCGTTCTTGAAGGAGAAGCTGCGGCTGGCAGCAGAGGCACTTCAGCCAGGAGATCGGCTTTGTGCCTCGCTTGCCCTGTTGATGAAAGCTCATCATTTGTGTCGCGAACGGTCACGTGTTCGTAGCTGGATCCAATCGGTGTTGCTGAAGTCTGACTAGGACATATTTCCACATATCAACAGCACAACTGCTGTTTCAAGGCATATCTTTGGAACCTTTGCGGGCTGGCTTGCTGCCACACATTAAGCGTCTGCACAAGGCTCGGATATTTGGCAGAAGATGCTGCAAGCATGTGTTGCTCGAAGAAAGAGACCTGCATCTTGACACGAACGTCAAAGAGACCTGCATCCGATGCAGAGCCAAACCCGAAGAGTCAGTTTTTTACAGCCTGCATTATCCAATCATTGTCCTGCATTCATTTGTTCAATGAACCTTAATGATGTCGAATTTCTAAAAAGTGGATGTCATTCCCTCGTTGTCGGTGCGTTTTGCTGGGTTGAAGACATTTGTGAAAGGAACGGTTGCCTGTGAGCTACGGCGAGCAATACTTCGAAGAGGCATTAGCAAGTAGCTGGTCCAAGGCGGGGTCGGGCAGTTTTTCTGTACATTGATGCAGGCCGTTGATTTGACTGATGGACTGATAGAACTGAATCTCCCCATTTGGATGATAAAACATCTCCATAACATCAGCAGTCTACATTAGGGGTGCCGTGCCACATGTCCAAAATGACATGCTCGGCTCCTTGTGGCCTGATGCAGCGATTTGCCGATCATTTCCCTTTTATTTGGCTGTTTTGAGAGTTCCACATGCAGAAGCGGAAAGCTTATCATTGCATTTTTGGAAACTACTATGGCTAGATTCTAGATTAAGACAGGAAAGCTGGCTTCGCTTCCCAGTCACATATTCTATGAATTTGTGGGATGTTTGTTGTTGCCCTTGTAGGTGGCATAGGGTTGTGGGGTTCCAAGGCGGCCTTGTACGAAGGTATTGACCTCAGCAGCAGTGACCATGAGAAGAAGTTCTAAGTCACAAACTGTTTGTGTTTGGCCCTGGACTGTTGTGTTTCTTGTTATATTTGCAGTTTTTTCAGCTTCCCTCTCATGTCTCTTGCGGCAATAGTGTAAACCTTAGGCACTATCGCTGGAGCTTTGGTTTGCAAGGAGCCAAAGCCAAAGTGGGGAGGGAGGTCAGCTGGGGACAATAAACGTTTCCTATCAAACTGCATGTTGCACCAAAGCATTCGATGGTCAGAATAGAGGACATCCTCCCAAGGAGTTTTGTCAATTCATCTAAAAAAAACACTCAATGCCAGGGCTTCAGACCCTGACAGACCTGTTTGGAGACAATAAATGAAACAATCTTCATGAGCACATCTTCGCCAGGAAATGGATGGAGGGCTTCGTGTGCAAAGTTTGGTCACTGCCGTGCCGCTGGAGAGCCCAGCCAAGCTGATGAGAACCGAGTGGCTAGAAAACAATGTAGCCTCTTTGTCGTGCATACTGTAGTCTGTTGTGCCACATGGGAGCCAAACCTGCAACTTCATCACGATCCACTATATAGTGATCATGTCGACTTCTCACAGCATCAATTCGCAAGTACTACTACAGTAGATAGTAATGATAGGTACTAATAGCATATTTAATGGTATTGCCAGTGTCATTCCTACCGGACCTTAGGTTATACGATCTAGCATCCATCAAACCAACAGTCCAAACTGCAGATGCGCCGGGGCATCGGTCCCAGGCGCCGGGGCATCGGTGGGAGGCTCCTGCAGAACCTTTGCAGGGAAGCCGAGAGCTCGGGCATCCGGAAGCTGAGCCTCCATGTCCACGTGAGGAGCGGAGGCAAAGGCAGATGGTGACGGCCTGGCGATCAAAAGATGCTTGGGGGGTTCAAAGAATCTGAGGTCATTTTGGGGCGCGACGTTGAGACACCATCTTGAACTAGACAAGACATACAAAGGAGCCATGCCCTTTCACCACGACTGTGAGAGGAACGAGCCTGCAATTGCACTCTACAAGATGCTGGGCTTCAGGACGCCTTTGAAGAAGCTCCTTTGATCTCGCAACAGAACTGCTTGCCCTATCGTGATTTCAGGGATGGGATAGGAACCCCAAAGCTCCTGCCTTTGCCAAAGCTACTTGGCTTCTTGGAGCTTTTCTTGATAGAACACTATGCCATTTGAAAGACCATCGAGGGGGAAGACATCAATCATTCACCTTAGGTTCTCTTTGATTTGCGTCCGGTTCTCTTTGACCCGTGTCGATTGGTGACGGCTTTGGGGTGCAAGGACTGAGTGCACTAAGCTGAACTACTACCACCGCAGTGCTGGAAGCCCAAGACTTGACGTCTCTGGAGTCAGATCTTAGATCTTCATAAATGGCAATAACACGCATGTTTTGTCATATTGACGGCAGAGAAGCTTCCTGCAAGGCTGGCAGTTTGGAGGACAATCTGGGAGATTCGAGTTGCCATGACTGGCAGTGTTCAACTCCCAAACTCAGCAAGGCATTCTTGCAGGTATCCAGCCGGAAAATCCCTGCAAAGTCATCGGAAGCTGCAATACACACAAGCTTGGATAGCTTTCATATCCTTTGATCTCTTGGGTTGGTGGATGGTTGCTTCAGATGAACACCTCAGGAGCCGTTGGACGCCCTCTTCATGGTGCTGCGCATCGATGCACCGGAGGTGTCTTGTGAGAAGTGGAGCTTCTCCAGTAAACGGACCCAGGCGGGCCATCCAAAGAACGCTTTGTGATCAGTGGGTCCAGGGGGAAAAAGTTAAAACACAACAACCAATTCTTCCGTTTCGAGCAAGTTGCTTCTTCAGCAACGGAGTATACGTTTTTAGGCATTTTTACGACGGCGGACGGTGCTGAAACACATTCCACGTTTCCTCGTACTCTGAATGAGCCACTCTTGTGGAG